CCCCCCACATGTGTGTACACCAGGGACAGACTAGGCCAGGCTAATGCACAGAGTGAGAGGGAGGTAAAGGAATGATCCAGAGGTTCAAGTCTGAGGTCAGGGTCAGTGAGGCTCCTTGTTAGTCCCAGTCACAGGCTCCAGAGCCCTGCTGCTGAAGGTTAGGCTGCATGGTGGGGTGGGGGTGGGGGTTCTCTTCACAGCTGCAGCACACACACACACACACACACACACACACACACACACACACACACACACACAGCCCTTAGCTCCTCCTGGTTGTTTTCTGGGACAGGCTCTGACACCCAGTGTGAGGGGAGAGGCTGGGCCAAACTGTCATGAAAGGCCTTTGGTGTGGAGGGACGGGAGGATCCCAGCTCAGCAAAGGAAATACTGAAATTAAACCCTTTCCCAGGGTTGGGGAACTTCCGTCCTAATTAAATAGAGGGGACTCCTGGGCCTGCTGTCAGAGCCGGGCTGCTCTGGGAGGGAGGAAGCAGATGCTGTCCTTGGAAGGGGAGAGGGAAGGGGCGGTGGGCGGCTGTCCCGCTTTGATGCTGATTCCAGGCACACACACTCATCACGTCTAATTAAGGCCGAGCTTGTGCCTCCTGTCCTGAGGCACAAATCCATATTCAAGTGCTGGGTGGGGACCACAGGCAGGCCTATGTGGGCAGCTGTGAAGAGAACACCCCCCCCCCCCCCACACACACACACACACACACACACCATGTATGCCTCTCCTGTGCCTGGCCACCAGCTTCAACATTTGTCATTGTTCTCTCTCAGCCCTCCTGGGGCCCAGGGGCAGAAGAGCCCCATGCAGAGCCCTGGGGACAAGAATCTAAGAGGCCTTTGGAGCCAAGTCCAGAGGAAGGTGGAGATAAGCAATGTTCTGCAGGAAAATCTTTGATCACAGCATGTGGTAGATAGAAATGAAGCACATACACGGGAAACAGATGCCTGAGCCCTGAACCTGCAAAGGCAGCCTTCAGACCACCTCCAGGAGCCCATAGACCCATCCTAAGAACAAGATGGGGGCCCAGGAGAGAGAGTACAACTCTGTGAACTTCAGAAAAAAGCCATGGTCATCCTGGGCCCATGGCCCTCCGCTTCTCATCCACTGCTGGACTCCGAGAACCAGGGAGCCCAACACTGCAGAGGATCGTTCCCACACTCCCTACACCGAGACTGCCTCCAACCCTGGCAGCCTTTACCCATCTAGTCACGTGTACTCAGGGGCACAATTGGACAGTAAGGCTAAGCCCAGGCCTGCTCCACAGTGTGGCACTGAGGGCAAGACCCAGGGTCCCTTACAAGTATTGCTTGTTCTGGGATAATGAGAGAGAGAGAGAGAGAGAGAGAGAGAGAGAGAGAGAGAGAGAGAGAGAGAGAGAGAGAGAGAGAGATTATCACCCTATGTAATCTAGTCTGGTCTCCAAATCCTGATTCTCCTGCTTCAGCCTCATGAGTGTTGGGGTTTTAGGCTTATGCTCCTACACCTGGCCCAACTTACAGACTTATATAGTCAGAAGCCCGGAGCCGATTGTCTATTGAAACCCCTGACAAAGCACACAGGGGCTGGACAGAGGTGAACCACAGAAGGCGGAGCCAGAGCTTCTCAATGCATACAAGGGAAGAAAGGTTCTGGGAAAATGCCAACTTCTTAAAATACCCCTATGCAGAGCAAAAAACACTGTCTTTTTGGTTTTGTTTTTGTTGATTGGTTTGATTTGACCTCAACTTTCCATGCAGCTAAAGATGCCCTTGGCTTCCGATTCTCCTGCCTCCATCCCGAGTTCGAGGACTACAGGCGTGTACCTCCACACCAGGCTCAGCAACAGTGAAAGTGAGGGGTACATTCCAAGTCATCACATACTCACATGAAAATGGTCATGTGTTAAATGTTCTATAAGCACATTGATATACAATAATGAACAGTCTCTTTTTAGAAATTAAAAGGAGAGAGTAAAAGAAGAAATGAAAGAGAAAGGAACTTCCTGAGGAAAGAAAGAGGTTTTCACCAGTAAATGCTGAGGAGGTGAAATACCCTAAGTAGGAAAGTGCAGCTTCAGTCTCAGGAGTGGAGAGCAGTGGCCACACAGAATGCTGGCCTTGGTGCCATACACCACAAGACACTGAGGCAGGGGGATCAAAAGCCCCAGGCCGGCCTGGGCTGCACAGTGAGACCGTCTCCAAACAGGCAAACCTGCTATAACCCGGTGTCATTCATCAATGTAGGTCATTTTTAGCCACGTTTAGTTTTAAGAGACTAGGTATGACTTGGCTGTGTTTCGGGGTGCACTGTGCCGCTCTTGGTGGCAGCTCAGGTCTCCATGTCACCCCTGGCTGCACTGGGCTGTGTGGAACCAGCTGGGATGAGTGTCAAAATCTGCACATGCCATCTTGGATTGCCTCTCTTCTAGCCTGCCTCCCTCCCTCCCTCCCTCCCTCCCTCCCTCCCTCCCTCCCTCCTTCTCTTCCTTCCATTGGTAGCCAAGGGGCCTTAAGCTCTGCTCTCATTTCCAAGCCGGGAAGACGGCATGTTTTTCACTGGCCTTGGGTGCATGCCACCCTGCTTGGTGCCCCCGGGAACCACCCCTGTGCTGTCCTCCAGTGTTGGGCTTCTGGCCAGGGCCACAGTGAGTGCTGTCCTGCCTCTGCTCTCAGTCGTGGGAAGGTTTGTCTGACAAGAGTTTACTTGGCTGCTACACGGATCCAAATTCTGAGGTTTGTTCTCACGGTTGGTAGCGGTGGCTTGTGGCGGTCTTTATTCTGGGGCTAGTGTATCCTCCACCAAGGCCGTGGCTCTTCCAATTGATTGCCCACAGTGTGCCTGGGGTGTTGGCAGGCACTGCATTGTGTCCCTCCAAAGTTAATTTGCTGAAGCCCTGACTCTCATGTGACAATCTGGAGATGGGGTCTCTGGGGTCAACTGAAGTCACAAGTGACACTCTAATTTGATGAGACTCCCTCCCCTCTCCGACTTCCCCTCTCCCTTCCTGTCTTTCTCTCCCCGGCTCATTCTTTCCTCATTCTCTCCTCTCCCACCCCACCCCCGTCTGTCCCCTCCCCGCCTACTTCTCCCACCCCTTATCACAAAAGGCACAGTGAGAAGACAGCCAACTGCAAGCCAGAAAGTGGACCCCCACCAGAGCCTGGGCATGCTTCCAGCCCCCACACTGCAGGAACCAATCTCTACTGTGTGAGCTGCACAGCCTGGCCCTAAGGACTGGTCATGGATACTGTGCTGCCGAATGCTGCCATTTTAGCTGAACCTTAGATGTCCCAGCACCACGCCTGTTCTAGAAGTGTCCAACTTCTCACTTCCTTTTTGCCCTCTGTATGACCCCATGGAGTTCCACCCCATGCCCTTACGAGTTAATCAGCACAGATGCCCGGGGACCCTGTATGGGCATCAGGAGTTGCTCCCAATTCTCTTCTTGGTGTCTTAACTCTAAATTGTGGCCATCTTACTTCCTCTCCCAACCAGGCTTCTCCATCCCAGATAGTGCCTCCAATGGAAGGTGGGACATTACAGGGCTTGTCTCCTTGCCTCCCTCTGTCAGGAATCACAGCCCCGGACCTGCTGTCCACCTTCCAAAAGAAATGGCTCATGCCTTCCACTGAGGTGTGTGTCTGTTCAGAACAAAGGAAAATCCTCACTGGTTCTCTAATGATCAAGACAACTGTCAAGGCCACCTGTAGTGGCACATGCCTGTAATCGTAGCATTATGGGTGTTGAAGCGGGTGGGTTGCAAGTTCAAGACCAGCCTGGGCAGGTTAGTGAGCTCCTGTCTTAAGACTGTAAAAAGTAACAGTGAAGAAGAGAAGTGAGGTGGTACTTCAGTGGCAGAGCACGTGCCTGGCATGCTCATGGCGCTGGGTCCAATCTCCACCCCTGAAAAGAGAAACAAAAACTCCAGCTGCTTCATTTATGCTCACAAGCACGTCAACTGAATTTCACATTGTGGTGCAACATGCCTCACAGATGTGCACCCCGGAAGCAGGGGTGACTTTACACGGACGAGAACACCTGTAGCCAGAGCCGAGGGCAAACGTGAGCGTCTCCAGCACCCCAGAAGCCCCAAGTCACACCCCCAGAGATGGACCAACTGTTCCTGGCTCTGGCTGCTCTGTATCAGAGCATACGGGGCAGTATGTCCTTTACCTCTGGCTTCTTTGGGTCATGCTGTGCTTTTCAGCGGCCACTGAATGCTGCACACCACAGTGGGCAGCTTGCTTGTGGTGTAAGGACAGCCAGAGGTGTGTGCAGCCACAGTGCACAGTATTATATACTCTAGTCCCTGAGTATTGCTGGCTTGCAACTATTGACGACAGCTCTAACATTTGAACAAGTGTCTTGGACACAAAATCTGTGGCTCTGTGAGGAGACCTAACCATGGGAGCTCAGCTTGACCAAACATTGCCCCACAGCACAGTGAAGTGACAGGGGGTACTCTCAGGTCCCCGCTGGCAGGTTACATTTTCTCCCACTTTCCTGTGGCCACTCACCGCAAAGGTCAGGTCACATTGTGGTCACAGCGCAGGTACTCCTGATGACCACCAACGTTAACCTTTCTCTCTTGACTCGTGTGGGCCCTTGTACGCCTCATTTTCTGAAGTGCCAACTCTAATATTTTTGTCTGTTTTTCTGTTGACTTGTTCTAGAAACTGTGTGTTGGGGTTTTCATTCTAAGAGCATGTCTGGGGTCCGGTAGGTGCATCGTGAGCCCAACCTCTCTGTTTGTGTTTTGGCTGAACTGTGCCTCCGAGCTAACATCCAGGTGATCAGTGCTCCTGTGTGGACACTGCTGCATCCCATCCAGCTCCCCCCGCGCTCACACTTCACGTCTCCACTCAGGATGATTCTGAGCTATGGCCCTGCATAGCATGTTCTTCCCATCCTTTGTTTCAGCCCCATCTTGACAGGCAGGCCTTTCCTCCGCTGCCTACATCATTGATAAAGAGTATCAGACAATGCAGGACTGATGTCAGTCCCCTGTGGCGCTGCAGACCTCCCCGCAGGGTTACACGGGGCCATTAGCTAACGCCTTTGTCTATAATTATATACAACAGGCAACATTCACTTAGCAGATCATCTGGGATGCGCTTCCCATTTCATCCTCGGGAACCACTCCGCAGACTCTGCAAACGCCTGCCTGCTGAAGTCACTGCAATCACAGGTCCCTCGTCTGTGGGCTAAGGACCATGGCAAGGAAAGACAATGAGGTTAGTCTCACAGGATCAGCTCGCAGAAGCCAGCATAGTCGGGAGGGGAGCGGAGGCCTGGGGGGCTTGCCAGAGCTCTCAACACGTGTAGTCTCTACTCTGGGGTGATATGTGCGCTAAGAGCTGATATTTTAGGAAATCGGCAGGGGCCCTTCAAACCAGAGCAGATTTCCCTGACTGAGCTGAGGCGGGTTGCCTAGCAACCAGCTCTCATTACGTCATCGCCAGACAGATTCTGGGTACCTGGTGCCCAGAAGTATGAGGGGGTGGGGCAGAGGGAAGGCTATACAAGTAGAGAGGACAAGAGGGCCACTACTGACTGGCCCAAGAAGGCGTGGGAGGCTTCCTGGAGGAGGTGATACTTGGTCTGCACGCTGGGCTTAGTACTAGAGTCGGTGCGGACAGTATTTGGGGCTTGGGATGAGACCTGGTGTATCACCTGACAGAAGCAAGCTACGGAAGGAAGTGTTTGTTTTCACTCATATGTGGGGGGTGCAGTCCATCACTGTGGGGAAGGCATGGGCAGCCAGAGCATGAGAGAGCTGATCACAGGTGTCTGCAGCCGCGAAGCAGAGAGAGAGATGAACACTGGTGCCCTGCTCACTTTCTCCATTTTGTTAGGTCTAGGATCCCAGCCTGTGGGGTGGTGCTGTGAGCTTCAGCGTGGGTCTCCCTCCTCGGATACGTCTCTCCGGAAACACCCTCAGAGCACGTATCTCCTAGGCAATTCCAAGTCCCGTCAAGTCGATGATGAAGATGAACCACGTCCCCTGGGTTCTCCTTTGAGGTGTCCCGGAGACACAGGGACTCCTACCCAGCAGGATGTTGACACCTGCAGGGGTCTGGCCCTTAAGCCACAGCCTGGAGGTCCCCAGAGCTTCTGAGCTGGTGTGAAATCAGATAGCAGTCACAGGGCCCTCAGCTCTGGAGTCCCAGCTGCTATAGCTGGTTCTAGGGTGTCTAGGAGGGCTCTGTGCACATGACAGCCCGGGATCCACGTATCCTTTGCAACCTTCACATAATGGCACACAGAGAGGGGCCTCTCCCTCCTCCATCTGGTATCTCACAAGTCTCCAACTCTGCCCCATCAGGCCACCCCAGGGTAAGTGTACAGGGCCCAGCCCTCGGAGGCCAGGGTCCCATCATGGCTCTGGGGTCACCATTTTGACTTTGCTTCGCAGTGTTCAAGCATAGGCACCATTGTTTTGCCCAGGGTCTGCCACAGGGGAGGCTCAGCTCATGGCTGCCCTACAGTGCACCCTCTGTCCTGCAGTTTCTGGCCCCACAGGGTTCCTCTGACCCCTGTGTCCATGTCTAGGACCATTGTTGTCTAGCCTTGACTGCCTCACGCCTCTGACTCTAGACGCCCCTAGGGGACACTGGCCACACAGGCCTGTAACCAGCAAACCCTCCCAGGCAGCCTAAGCCAAGTCCATATGCTCTCTCTGGCCCACTGCATACCCTGGAAAGCAATTTCTTCTCTACCAGTCAAGGTCCTCCCCATATCAGGTATGAGGCCCCCGAGTCACTGTCCCCAAAGGTGTCTACATCCTACTTAGCCTGTGTGTCTGGAGTCTGAGGTAGCAACAGAAAGGTATGGCTATGTGAGGACCCTGAAGTAGGGGTGGCCCTAGATGTGATCCCAGTGTCCCAGGAAGAGGGACACAGGAGGACCAGAGTCCAGTGGACACCAGCAGAAGCTGTCAGAGGACAGACCTGTGCAGCAGGCTTTGAAAATGGGGACGATGCCAGGCCCCAGAGCACAGGCACCTCTAGGAGCTGAAAGGACCAGGTGGGACTATCTGGTCCTGGTCAGGGGCACCACCTTGGAGACTTTTGATATGGGGTGATTTTAAGTTGGGATGAGTTATTTTACAGCAGGAATTTCACAAGCCACTCAGCTGTTCCACGTGCAGTGTCCCTCAGCCCCTCAGCTAGCTGGGACCTCTTCCATACTGACCTCCATGGGACCCTCTTGGGCCGATGAACATTTTGTCTTGGAGACATCTATCTGGTAGCTCCTTGGGGAAGCAGTGTGTCTGCCTGGGAGTACAGGAGACACCCATACACAAGCAGCAGCGGGGTTGAGAAGCTAAGACAGGGCTGACTGAGAGGTAGACACCAGGAGGGGGGGGGACACACTCCATGGCCCCGCCCACCCTTGCCCATGGCCCCGCCCACCCTTGTCCCATGCCTACAGAGGAAGTCCTGCCCACAGGCAGGGCCCTTGAGTACTTCCCCATGCCCGTGTTCCAGGGAGGGGCCAGACCCGCGTGTGGCTTCACTGTCTTACGCTGCTGCTTCCACAGGGAAGCCTTAATTGACGCAGCAAAACAAACATTTGCTTTGGTGATCCACGCTGAGTTAGATACATGGCATTATTTTAATTAAGCCTTGTGACTGATGAATCTCAATAAAGCAGCTGTTCTGGAGTATTCAGGTATATAAATAAAAATAACATCAGGCGGGTGGCTGGGTGCAGGCTCTGCATGGGCTGTGTCATGGGGGGGGAGTCAATGTGGGCTGCTGGGAGCAGAGCAGAACACTTGGGGACGTGCTGACCTTGGGAAGGGCCACCCAGCACTCTGGAGAAAGGACTCCTGCCAGGTTGGGCCTGGAGGGGGACCAGGAGCACTTGGCAAGTCTAGACCTTGGGAGGTCATGGAGGAAAGGCTGCCACGGCTCCCCTGGGAGGAGAAGGGGTGAGTGTCCTTATGGTCCTGACTCCACATGCTCTTTGGCCATCATTGGGAGAACACAAAGATCTTTCACAGAAACCCTCCCCACTTCAGCTAGAGCTTAGGACCCCCACAGTCCTGAAACCGCCTGCTCCACCAGGCAGAGTCTTGGGAAACCAGGATGAGAGGAGGAGATTATGGGAGATGGCTGCAGGGATCCTCAGCTCATCCACACATCCACAGGGTTCCCCTCTTCTGGAAGAGCCTACCCAATGGGGTGGGGATCAGGGCCTGGATATCTTCCATTTCAGTCCACTTGTGAGATCCCTAGTATCCATCAAGCATCAGTTACCCACTCCCCTGGACTCTGTGGGCTCAGCTCCCTGGTAGAAAATGGCAGTGTCTATGGCACCGGCACGACTTCCTTCCATGTATTTTAATCCCTCTCCAGATGCCTTGAACTACCAAACTACATCATGGACAGTACGAGGTGCAGGGAACCACGCAGTAGGGCTCCGGTCAGCATAGCAGCCTGTGAGTGAGGCAGGAAGGGCCTTTGTGAGCTTTCTCACTCCATGAACAGCCGCTAAGTGAACCAGTCAGCAGCGCTAGGAACAGAGGCCTGGGATCACCCACAGGGAACGTGGTCTCTGCAGTCCTCATCACCCATTCTTCTCCTTCTGCTAACTTGGCTTTCACAGTGACTGTGTTTTTCTGGGGAAAGCCCTCAGGTCCTTTGGGATTTCCTCGTCCATACATCTTTCTCCATCTGGGACTTCATCACCAGCATTACATCTCCCCAGAGCAGCGTGACAGGCCTCCATCAATTAACTCCACCGTTAACTGAGCGAATAATGATCTGCGAAATTGGTGGAAGTTACGTTAAGTAGTTTGGTGGTTAATTCTGACGTTGTTGATATTTCTGCTAAAAAATAATTAAGTGCCTTTCATTGGCAAGATTTCGGCTTACAGTTGTAATGCATCTAATAATTTTATCACAAGTCATTTAACTTGGAGTTTTGCTTAAATTCATTGCAACGTGTAACTGTGATAGACTCCATCAAAGGGGCGTGGCTTAGCATGGCGAGGGATTGATGCTGTGTCCATTAGAGACCACTACCCAGGGCCTGCAGCCTTTCCCCTGTGGTGTCCTATGGTGGAGCATTACTGAGTGAGTTGTCCTCCCCGAGGGTCCTACACCAGCCACCAGCTTGACCAAGCCACACAGTGGTTCCTCCAATCCCAGAATCCTCCTCACTGTACGCCACATTGTCCCTGAGAAACTGCTGTTCTTCTTGTGCTGGCTCGTGTCCTCATGGTGAGTTTATCTTGCAAATCAGACCTCACTGGGCCTTGCAGAGGGAAAGCCAGACATATGCCCAGAGAGGCCATTGTCACCGTCTGTAGTGGAACATTAACCATCCTTACCACAGGGACCAAGAGTGGTTCCTTTGCCCTCAAGAGATGATGGCAGGTGGCAGGCAGGTAGTCAAATGATCCTGGTCATCCAGGATCCCCAGGAGACCCTGGAAACTCTCCTACCAGGACGGAAGAGGAGCTCATGGCACCAGCATTAATGCCTCAGGCTTCTATAACAGCTGGGGCTTGAGGCTGCACACGAATCCCTTCTGGGATAACAGAGTCTCACTCCTTGGGAATGAAGTACTGGGGATAAAGGAGACCAGTGGGGACTCGGTAGCTCAGTGTGCACTGGCCTAGAGTAGGTATGCCTGGAGTTTCAGCCCTAATACCAGAGAGAGAGAGAGACAGAGACAGAGACAGACGGGGGAGAGAGAGAGAGAAATTCAGAATCGAGCAGGGCCTCTGGTCTGTTTAGTGAGGCTGGCCATCTGGGTAGCCACATCTACATACACATGGCTTAGCTGGCCCTCCCTATGAACCACCCCAGACTAGAGAATCCCTTCTAGCTTTCATGAGGCTCCTCCTGGCAGGGGTTCTGCATCCACACTGCTCCCCCTGGCTTCCCTGAGCCAGGGCTATGAGGAAGTCTTGGTGGGGAACAAGGTGTGAGCACAGCTCTCAGATGCTAACGGCCCAGGGACCACATGTCCGATCTTCCATTCCCACGGGGGGGACAGAGGCCCAGTGAGAGGGAGGGACTTCCATTGTTGAGAAGTCAGGGCAGGAGCAGAGCAAATGAGAAAGTAGATCCTTCCAGCAGGCCAAGGACCTCCGATGTGTACTGCTGCCTCAGGTGGGTGCAGTCCTCAGCCTTGCCCTCATTGTTGACCACAACTGCATGACCACCATCCCAAACTCTGCGGCTGAAAGCAACACACACATTGATTCCAAGCACTATGAGTCAGGAGTGTGGGTGTGGCTTAGGCCAAGCCACTGGTCAGGTCTCCTAGGACACTGTGTCCAAAGTACCAGTCATGGCTGCTGCCATGCAAAGGTTCAGTGGGGACAAGGGTTATGCCCCAACTCTCCCATGGCCAGCGCATTGGGTCCTAGCCATCATCTCCTCGGGGCTCCGCACAGGGCTGCCTAGTAACACAGGGCTGACATCCCCAGGATATGGATGAAAGGGACCCCGAGGAAGAAAGTACACCCAAATCAGAAGCCGCAGTGTTTCAGAACCTGACCCTGTCCCATTTCATTCTTGGAGTGACTCTCCGGTCACCCTCAGAGACTGCGGCAGGAGGCTGGGGCACTGGAATGCTCCATGTCTCCCTGCCACAGCCTCCTCCCAGAACTCAACACCCTTTCCAGTCACACGCATTCTCAAATTCATGAAAAAGAATGGATAGGACCTTGGCTGTCAGTATGTCCCACCTCTGGTTTGGAATGTGCCCTGATGGGAGACCCGGTCTCTTGGAGGCTGGCTGTGTACATGTGTTTAGGAGAAGGGCATGGCTTCCACCTAGAGATTTCTGGAATCTCCCCAACCCCCCATCATTGATGTCAACACCTGTCTACAACCGGAAGGGGTCTGCTGGCAGCTTCAGCGAACTCTGGCCCTCTCTGTTTCCTGGATCTCCTCACTGGCCAGTGGGTATTTGGAGCTGGTACCTTGTCCTGACTTGGTATACAGAAAAGTCCTTTACACAAGGGAAGGGGCTTGTGTGGCAAATCACGTGTGGAAGGTACAAAAGGGGACTCAGGAGAGAGCTGGGCTTGGTGCTCTGGGGACAGGTGTCTGATAGAAGGAGACACCTGAGCTGGGGAAGATCTCAGAACCTAGAAGGCTGGGTGATGGCGACAGACTGTTCTGAAAGGAAGGCGTCAACTGCATTCGTCAGGTGGGCCTGACCCCACTTGTCCTTGGGGTGAAGGCTGTCCAGTGAAGGGGAACCAGAGCCCTGAGTGGCAGAGGCAGTAGCCATCCGACCTCCCCTCCCGGTGTGGCCTCAGCTTGTCCTGGTCACGCCTGCCTGTGTCTCTATCACATCTCAGTAATAAATGAGACGTTCTGAGCAGGCCATCAATTTTGGCATGATTGGCTTTCCAGGGTCCAGGCCGTCTGCACCGCCTTTGGGGTGGATAAACACGCTGGTCGGCCTTTGTTCCCAGTTTCCGAGAGACCGTTTGTCAGGGAGATTTATACCCACTTGCTGGCTGGGAGCTACGGCTGAACCTTCTCACTCCGTTTATCTCTGGAGGGCGCTGGCTCACCTTGAGTCTTTGGGGGGGGGGGCTCCTTGATGTGAGCACCGAGGAGCCTCTGAGGCTGCTCAGAAGGTCCCGGGTATGGCACACGGAGCTCCCAGGCCTGCCGTGAAAACACCTGCTGGCAGCAACCAGTAGGAAATGAGGCCATGAAGCCCTGGGACAGTCAGGGGATTAAGGTCCCCTCAGGAACCTGTTATTACCACCAGGCCTGTGAGTCAGGAGGAGGAGGGCAGTGGGCCCACCCTGGGGGGATACAGAAGACCTGAGGACCATGCTCAAGGTTCCTTCCACCCCAGGTTTCTTGTGGTGGAAGCCTTCAGATCATGCTGCCCTTGACCCAGACAGCTTAACCTTGGGGGGATCGGCTGGCATTGGACAATATCTACAAGGACCAGCTTGGTTTGGAGCTGGACCTGGAGCACCCTGTTTCTTTCCTATGCCCTGTTTCTGTTTGGCAGTGAAAAAAGGGGTCCAGGAGGTCGAGAGTTTTAGACCCCTTCCATGAGGGCTTTTCCAGCTTTATTTCTGTTGCTGTAACAAATATGGGGGGGAGGGGAGTTAGAGGAGGAAAGGGTTTATCTTAGCTTACCTTTCCAGGTCACAGTCCATCATTAACGGGAAGCCACAGCAGGAACTCAAGCAGCTAGTCACATCACATCTACAATCAAGAGCAGAGAGAAATGAATATACCCTGGACCTGGCTTCCTCTCACCTGGTTTTTGTTGGGTTTTCTTGGTGGTGGTGGTTGGTTGTTGTTGTTTTTTTCTATTCTCTATAGTTCAGAACCAACCCCCTCCTTGGGAATGGTGCTGTTCACAGCGAGCCGGGCCCTCCTGCATCAATTGACAATCGAGACAGTCCTCCACAGACATCCTCACAGGCCAAATGATCTAGGCAGGCCTCGAGCCAGACCCCTTTCCCAGTAATTCTAGGTTGTATCAAGCTAACAGCTAAAATTAACCAGCATTAAGGTCAGAGCTGCTCCATCTCAGGACCCCCAACATGGCTCTGGCCCAGTGAGGGCCATGGGAATCTGTGGACTGGATGAGTTTGCAAGGAAGAGAGAGGATAAATGAAGAACGGGAATGCATTTTGCAAAGATTCACCTTTTCCTTTGTGGA